GATGATGAGGTTAAAAGTATTGTTACATCCATCTTTATTTGTATCAGTGGGTCAAAGTGGATTGATCTTTCTTTAGAYGGTTTATAGCAGATCTTAAGAGTGCAGTTTTATGTTTTACATCATTTGCAATTTTGCTTAAGCAATAAATCTGCCAGAAAAATGATRTCCTGGAATTTCACTGTTTAGGAGTTATTTCAAGATCAGCGTGATGTACCATCAGATGTCAGGTTTTCATCTTGTTGTTGCACCTTTGAAGCAGGAGCGAAGCTAATTTTTATATTTTTTTTATTTATTTATTTTTTTGCAAATGGTGGCACAGGGGTGGCCAAGATATTTTTCTAAGGGGGCACATGCAAAAAAAGAAAAGCACTCTGGATATTAAAATTAAAGATTGCTACCACAGCTAATTCAAAATGGTTTTAATTCAGCTTTTTTAATAAATATTGAGTTGAAGCTATAATGATTTTTAAAAAAAAAAAGCAGGCGAAATGCTAGTCACACTTTATTATCAAACCATTTTTAGACATACACACCTGAAGATTAGTGTAGAAGTAGCTGAAAAAAGTCTTTACCAAATTATAAATGCTTATCAAAAATTCAAGATGGCCACCACAGCTCATTTCAAAAAGCTATAATTCGGCTACTTTAAGACTCATTGAGATTTAATTTGTTGTGGCGCAGAGAAGAATGATCACATGACCATTGTTAATGCTAATCCCAAATTAAGCTTGACACAAATGCTAATATTATTTTTACAAAGGGCTTTAAGTCAGCCATTTTTCAAGCATGAACATATAAATACAGCGTTATTTGAGAACAATCTTCACCAAAATCTAAATGCAAATACAAAATTCAAGATCCCCTCCCACTTCTCAGTTATTTGGATGTTGGCACCTGGGGGTGGCCATGCAGGTCACCTCTCTGGCTCCGCCCCTGCTTTGAAGTGCTTAAACCAGCAAAATATTGTCTTTTAATAAAACGACTCCTTATAAGTGTACCTGCTGTTCTTTAACGAGAAGCCATGCAAAGATTCAAACTCGCGCTCCTGTTTCCAGGTCTGTTGGATCTTCTCGCAGCCCCTCCAGCCAAACATTTTATCAGCGCCAGCAGGAGCCACGTGTGGGCACCCGCCAGCTGAACGGAGGCCCTGCAGGCCGCCACTTTCTCTGCCATTGAAGGGCCTTTTGTTCGACGAGGAATGCAGGCCTCGTCCCCTCCGCACAATGAGACTGTTGACAGTTTCTCTCCGGAAAGAGAGAAAGGATGTGTGGGTCGAAGACGCTGCCGTCCATCAAGCAAATCAGACTCAGGTCTTCAGACGTGTGTGTGTGTGTGTG